GTTTTTTTTCTCTCTCCTCTCTCTTTTTCTCTCTCTCTCTCTCTGGGTTCTCGCACTTTGGTAATTAACACTGGAGGTATTTTTAATAGTGATAATTGGGGATTTGTGGATCGAGAGTCACTGGACTGCTGGTGTTGTAGCGTCGGTGGGAGAATAATGTTTACACTTGTGTCACTGATTCGATGATAGAGAGGACCCACGGGCTATTAATATTGTGGGGTATACCTGATGGCTCCCGTTCGGTGGAAAATAACTTTGGCTTTTGCCCAATCAATCGCCAGAGCTACCAACTTTTATGCGTTATCCTTGGGCTTTTGGAAGTCGACGCCGACAGATCTGGGATGTGATCTTTTCGTTTTCCCCTCTCGGGGATTTTCTTCACTGAGGGATAATTTATATTTTTTCACCGTTTTTTGGAGATTTATGATGGTCGTGGTGTAGTACAGAGTTGGATCGCGTACTTTTGACGCAGGTTGACGTCACTGGACGTTGAGCACCGCATTCTTGGAAATACAGAGGCTCCCACTATCCGATTTTGCCGACCGATGCGCCACCTACAATTGGCGGGCTTTTTGAACTTGAAAAAAATTCAAAAAATGAGAATTTTAAATTTCTGTGGATGTGGAGCATTAGTAAAAAATTTATATAAGCTGAATTATAATTTATTTATATTTATTTATTTAAATAAAAAAAAATATAGAAATGAGATTGATATTATGGAATTGTCGGAATAATTTCTGTGAGAGAAGAGTATTAGGTGAATATTTTTTCAAATATTTTATTGTTTCAATATATATTCAACAATAATAATCTCGTATCGCATATTACGTATTATACCGTAATAGTTCTTACTCAATCTCGATTATTCATCCCTGTAAATAAAAAAATCTTCCTCAACGTCCATTTACAATAATTCTACAGAATGTCACTCAAGTCAGTTAACGAAGGATTAAAATACTTATTCAATGGATAAATAAAATAAATGGTACGCAGTCGGTGATCGAATCCACATGTGGAAGACGCGGCAAGACAGATTCCTTTACTCTAATCACTCAGTCCAATCCTTGGACACGCGCGTGAGAATTGAGCAGATTTTCTAAAGAAATCATAGCTACACATTCACTACAAACTTACAAAAAATCGTTTAAAGACATGAATAATTCAATGTTACTAGTCACAAAATAATTAAGTCAAATTCATTTCAAGACACATTTTCCTTAAATTTACCCTGATTTGTAGATATAAAAATATATATTAGTCAACACATTTACACATTACAAATTGTAGACTTATTCTCTATTTTGATATTTCTCCTCTTTCTTCAGATACGAGGGAGAAATAATTACATATAAAACTAATTTCTATACAAAAAAATTATTACAATCGTCGGTTGAACGAGTGTTGAGAGAGACGAACAAATTCTTTGGTCGGCTGGATACAATTCATTTAATCATTTCCACTCGTCTCTGATCAACGATAATTTGATAAGTCCAACCAATTGTTCGTAATGATAAATCTCCAGTTTTAAAATCTCGTGTATAAAGTACTTGAGTTTTGATTAAAAATTAAAAATACGTATAAAACGTTCAGCAATCGTGAACTTTGAACAATTCCTCGGAAATCGTATCAATAGAATATGAAATAAAAATATTCTCGGGAAACTGTCATTAAAGTGCAGTCTTTGCTACATCAACCAACCCGACGTATCGGGTTAATTGTAATTTCCTATTCACAATTCATTTTCGTGAGATTCTCAGAAAATTTTTTTATATAAATGCAAGTCCTTATGCTACAGGCACAATTCATCTAAATCACCAATAATGCATTAATTAATGCTACAGTATCATCGTTTTCTCCAGGAGCAGCAGCACAGTGGAATGGATGTTTTTCTTTTGTTCTTTAATTTTCCATGAATTATTTCGTTATTATTCATGTGCATGGTGCCATCGTCAATCGGTCGAACACTTATTTGGTCAATATAATTCTACAATAAACGTCAAGTAATGAAAAATTTACGTCAATATAGTTTCAAAGAATATGCAGAAGACATTTTAATGAGAACACGGACAAGGCACTTTTCACTCCCCTTTTAAACTATCAAACGAAATTAGCATGATTGAGATTTTCAGTTATTGAGACATTAATGGGAGTAGTTAGCACCAGTCAAATTCAGTTGCCCCGGGTATTTCCTGTCGCAGTTGATATTATCAATCCTTTTCAGTCAGTCTTCGACTGGAGTATTGTCTGGGCTATTCTCGTTATTCGAGGAAAGCTCGTGTTACACGATCCAACAATTCATTCAGCTCGTACATAAAAAATATATACTAACATGGGATAATGAGATTTTACGAGGGGATCGTCACCGGTTAAATCCAGGTCACGGATGAGCCCTTTTAATTCCTAGGAGAGTTTCGTAATATTTTGCCAGATAATTTATTCATGCGAAAGATCAAATTCAGCGAAGAATTGCTAAAATTAAAAAAATATTGATTTTACTAAGAAATAACAAGAGTTTTAAAAAAATAACTTAAAAATAAAAAATCTCCAAGGCTGTGATATCAAAGATTTTTGAAAATTTCTGTGAATTTCACGAAATTTGCACTCCCAGGAAAAACAGATAATATTTGAGAGTGATTGCCCCCTCGGCTTTCTCATTATCCTGATTAAGGCCAAGCTCGGTGTTCATATATAGAAAATAATGAATTATCTTTATGATTAAATCGAATGAGATACGTTTAATACATAAATCGATGAAAAAGTTATCTTACTTATTTTTGGAAATTGCTTGTATCATCGTGGGGGTGTGAAACCTGTGAAATGGTTTTGATAATGTGAATTTGTCAGGTCCTAAAGCTCATTAACAGCACATTAGAGGATTATCGTTAATGATCATATGTGAAGTGTTAGTTGGATTAGATTGTTACATTAATTATGATTGATGTTTCGGTTGGCTCTGGGTTTATATGTTCATGTCGTAAAGATGAGGTGGTGCACCTACCGCACTTGGCATTTGGCATCCACGACGGACTAAAAGTCGCACTGATGGCCCACCATTTCGAATTATCTCAATGGCCTCGGCGTGAGTCATGTTCTTCGTGTTTATACCGTTTATCTCGATTATTTGATCGCCCACCTGGATTAAAAACCGATTTTATGAATTTTTTAAATATTTTTCCAAAATCATAAAGAATTTACTGAAATTATTCAGAGAGAAATTTTTTTCATTTTTCCAGAAACAGATAAATAAAATAAAAAATCAAATAAATGAGAATATTGATAGAATATCGGGTGAACAAACATGTAAATATGGATGCATCCAATTTTTTAATAGTTTATTGAATTAATTTAATGGATCGGTTCATGCAGTCCATTATCGAAGAATATCTCACCCTCAATCGGTTATCAATTGCTGCTGGGCCATTCTCAGCAATCTGAAGTACAAAAAGGGGCATATTCTGGAATTCTCGTCCTCCTCGTATGCTAAATCCGAATCCCCGAGTGCCACGGGTTAATTCCACTGCGTGGTATTGTCCCCCATCGCCATCTCCAGTCGACTCGTCCTTTCAAATAATTAAAAAATTCACTTAACAAACAAGGGGATAATTGCCTTTTTCATGAATGAACATAATCATTTTTTTATTTCCATGCCATAAAGTGAATTTAAATAAATTGATCAATTTTTTTTTTTTATAAATCGTTATGGATTGGAAATGTTTGTTTTATAGATTTTATTAAATTTAATGGGAAAGGGAGATTCGAGATGTTTGATACCTTTTGGGACATTGAGGTGGTGCTACAGCAGTCGTCAATGGGATAGCCAATGGTGAGTGTAACCGAGTACCCAGAATCCTTGATCAAATTGACGATATCTTTGTGGCAAACGTTGGTGATGTCCACGTGATTGACAGCGAGAATGTGATCCCCAACGTTGAGTCTGCCACATCTCTCAGCAGGTGATCCCTCGATGATTCTTCCAATGGTGGAGCCAGCCTTGTTCACTGACGAAATAATAACAAATCCAAAGCCCTCGTTCTCCATTCTCGTGACAGTTATGTCATAAGGATATTGGAGATTCATCTGTCTCTCGTACGATGTCTGGAGATTCTCCTGAAGATGATCCTGATTAATGCGTCTTCTGATTCCCAGGGTGACCCGTCCATTCTGCGCTGCCTGAATCATCAGCTGGACCACGTGGTGATGGGAGGAATTCATCACACTCTCGCCATCGACAGACATAATCAGATCACCTGTGTTTAGTCTGTTGTCCAGATCTGCCGCTCCACCTGGCACTATGTGGCCAACGGACACCTGCTGGTCGTTCCATTATTTATAATCTCTTTATAAATAACTAATCCGTTCTATCGGTGGAAAGTAAATTGTGATTAACCAACCTGAGATCTCTCCTCGGTTCCACCGACTATCCTGAATCCAAAACCAGTGTCCTGACGCACTAGGGTCACCAGTGTTTCTATCCACTCGACATCGGGAATTGTTGGGCAAACCAGTTCATTCGGATATTGGGGATACCTAAGCAATAGTTAATAATTAATTCATGAATATTTCTAACAGCGGAAAAAAATTTAATTCAAGACTGCAAATGGAAAATTAAAAATTAAAAACTTAAAAAAAAATATACAATTACCTGGATATAGAGCTGGAATGTGGCTGCTCATGTTCAAAGCTCGTAGTCTCTTTCCTCTTGTCCCATATCTCACCAGTGTCGACACTCTGCTCCTGCCCCATCCCATAAACCGCATAATCCTGCACGGAATACTGCGAGTGCATCCTGACAGAGTAGATGTCCTTGTAGTAATCCGAGTGTTCGCCATTCTGCTTGACCATCTGCTCATGCCCTCCAGGACTCGGGTACATATCACTCATGGGTATTTTATCATTTCCACGCCAGTCTCTACTGCTGTGTCTCATCGGATCGTCATCGATTGTCATCCTCCCAAAATTATCCGCCATCTTTCCCATACTCGATTTATAAGGATCACCGTAATAAACGTCATGATTGTACTCAGGATACTTGCAGGTGTTCTCCATTGTACTCATATCATTATCATTATCAGTTCTCCAGTCAGATCCTCTGAAGTCAGCTGGTGATTTTGTTCGATTTCTCGTGTCAATGAGAGGTGTTTTTGGTCTGCTAGGGACAATCGTCTTGGACTGAGTGCTGTAAATATCGGCAGTTGGTGTTTTACTCCTGTAAAAATCCTGAGGATTTTTCTCCTTTTTCTCCTTGTCCTTGAGAACGGCCCTCTGGACGTGGATAACGGCCCCCTGATTCCTCGGGCACTCCTTCAACACCTGTACAACTTCAGAGTGGCACATATTCCTCACGTTGACGTCATTGATATTTACAAGGATGTCTCCCTCCATGAGATTCTTACATCTGTGTCTGTCCAGAATTTTCTTCACCTTCTGACCGTGTGATGAATCTGCAATTGTAAAACCGAAACCCATGGCCCCCTTGACAATGGCAATACTGAAAAATTCTGGCTTCGACAGGCTATCCTTGTCATCAAAATCCGTTGTATCTGAGAGTAAAATATCCGTGCTGCTGGGCCTTTTTATGGTGGTAATTTTATCAGATATGCAAAGGTCTGGCATTGAATTGACTGAAGCTGTCGTCAAGTTCTCACCGTTCTGGTGGCTGTGCACTGGGAGAAATGAGGCCTCGAGGAAGCTGAATCTGTCTTGCTGAAGAGAGGGATCCAGGTCCATATAGAAGGAAGGATCGTCTGGGAGAAGATCTGAGGGCATCTGCTGAAGATTCCTGGGAATTCCTGACTCCACGTGATTGATACTGTGATCATCTGGTGCACTCACTGCTATTGTTGTGACAACCTCGGTATTAGGATCATTGGGGTCGAAGGGCAGAGGATAGCCCCGACACACCTCCAGGGAGACGGTCTCCCCACTGGCGATGGATTTGAAGACATTCACCATGTCGTTGTGAGTGAAACCCAGGACACAGGTGTCATTTACGTACACCAGGACGTCACCTGTTTGGAGTTTTCCATCGAGCCAGGCTGGACCGTTGGGGACAACGCTTTTAATCTGGAGAAACTCCTCGACTGTGTCGTCACCACCAACTATGGTAAATCCCAGTCCTCGAGAGCTCTTCAGAAGAGTTGTCCTTATCCTCTGGCCCTTCAGATTTTTTGGATTTCTCGTAAAATTTGGACTCTTCCTGTCACTCAGACTCTGCTGTGCTCTCTTCGCCTGGATCACTGGATTTTCGTACTGAGTTCTACGATTCACGTGATCTATGAAGTACGTTCCATACAGCTGATCGTCTATTTTTTCCCAGCCATAAGGCAACTCGTCGTCCAGGCACTCCTCCAGGGAACGCTTCTGGAATTTTGATAATCTTGGATCGAGCCAGTGGGAAGTGCCTGTGTTGTGATCGATGAAGTAAATCTCTCCAGTTTCTGTGTATGCCTTTTCCCAGTTTGAGGGGAGTGGACCCAATTGATCATCTGGGGTCTCGTCGTAGCAGTTGTGCCTGTCATGTTCAGAATTTAGAACACACTGGTCTGTTCCTGGAGTGTAGAGATATGTGGGAGGAACACGATGACTCGAGTTATCAGATCCACTTATCGTCAGGATCTCTTTATCCACGCTTCCACCTGGAGGAGAAATTTAATTGAATAATTAATTAGAATCGTCATTTACGTGGCTCTATTGGTTGAACATTATTGACATAATTTTTAGTGGGAATTACCGTCTGTGACATTGTCCATGGAGACTGAGTCCTCAGTTTTCGTTGCCATTCTTTATCACCTTCAATTTCCTAAAGAAACAATAAAAAATTTCAAATCAATTAATTTTATCATCACCAATTAATTATCTCTCCAAAGGGCAGACGACTAGAAAAACAAAACCATCCAAAACCCTTCAAAACTCAAGTGTTTGTTTCTGTAATGAATCCCAAAACCCTCCACTTCGTAATTTCCTGTTCCTTTGGGATAGATAAAAAATATCGATAACAGACCCTGAACAGGTGTGCAAGACCTACACCCACCGAAAATCCACAGCCTATCCTCGCTGAGTAAAAAAAAGTTGATGAAAAAAAAAAACGTCGATTCACTCCTCCTACATCACACACAACTATTCGCTTCATGCAACTTTCTATTAAGACACGAATCAATGAGACCTCAGTCTCCAGTTGAAAAAAAAACGCGAGCAAAAATAGGAAAAGAAATCATAAAGAAATTTAATGTCTCTAACGTAAACTCGTAAATGCTTGGAGGTGACACGTCTGTTCCGTTTTCCGTTGCATGTGAAAGGTTCCCACATACTCGTTTATGGGGATAAGAGGCTTGGGGTTGACGTGAAAAACGTCATTATCCCCGGGGGAAATAATTCTCACGATTGAAACAATCATATCATATTTTTTTCCCGTTTTAACCAGTATTTTAATAATTGATGTACTCACGTTTTACCAAGTTCACGTACCCAATCGCCTCTCGCAGCATCATTCATGCCCCCTGTTTTGTTTTATATGAGAGAGTAATCCAATCACTGGTACGTTACATCGATTCAATCACTCTTTTTTTTTATCCTCCTTTCACGGATTTATCTTTCGAAATGACTTCTGCGTGAGGGACTCACACGAGAGTCTAGCAAACTGTAGAATTATGGAGGAGGGAGAGACCAACGAGTTCTTAGGAGTGAGAGCAAGTGCAACCGTCATGGTATCGTGGAATTTTGGAGGGGATACAGCGCCCTCTAAATTGTTTACAAGAAACTGCGAGATTGACATGATTTAAAAAAAAAAGACTGAATCTCAAATAATCCTATAGAGAATAAAATAAAAATTTGACATCAGTGATCATGTCCGCGTCCCTGCGTTTGGTGATCAACGATTTTCATACGAGATCTCCAACTCCTTCTGAAGCCTGACAATCTCATCATCTTTGTCCTTACCGGCCATCTCGGACTGCTCCAATTGAGACTTCAGGTGGGAAATTCGGTCCTCATTTCACTCCATTTCCCACTCGCTCTTTTCTTTTTGGCATTTAGACAACGGAGCATCAGTTTCTGAAATTTTCCTCTTCAGGTTCACCATTGGCTCACCAATCACATTGCTCCAAACACCCAACAACCTCACGCCAGTGCCCAAATACCTGCAAATAAATTTGAATAATCGAATTCAATCGATCGAAAATTAACCGACGAAATTCATATTTAATTAGTAAAGCGAATATTTCCTGTATTAGCACTGGAGATTACAGACTACTCCATCAAAAATTCCATCGACAATTCCCGCCATAAATTGAGGTAAACATACTGAAGGACATCGTGCAATCTTGTTCATGAAAACTCTCATCGATTTTCGGAGCCAAAGCCAGAGATTCCAAAGCAGAATAGAAAAAGACCTTGCATAACCTCAATATTAACGACATTCCAACTGCTCCAACTTCTGCAACAAGCATCTTCGGTTTTTATCAGTAAGAATGATCGTCAAGGTCACTTGAAAAATTTTGTAAATACGTTTGACCTTACGAGAGATAAAATAAAAAAGACAACGGAGTTAATTCATCACCTGACCATCAGGTAATTAAAAATACCTGAGACCCTCCAGTGGGAATTTATTCCATACCATACCGAACGCAAAAAATTACAATAACAATTTCAGCCCGTAATATTGAAAAATATTTTGAAAAAACGCTTGCTCATGGAAGCTCAGTTGTCAATGCATGCTTTTTAATAATAATGATTTAATTTTATTCCAGAAAAGAGAATAAAAATGTCTGAGCAATTTGTGGGCTGCATGGTGTCCATAAAGTGCGTCGACGACCTGGGGACTTATCAGGGTCAGATATCAGATTTAAATCGTGAAACGGTGACGATATCAAAGGCCTTCAGAGACGGTGTGCCCTATCCATCATCCCAGGTAATAATAAATGCAAAGGACATTGAGAATCTGGAGATAATATCAACAGAGGAAGCGGGTGCCCGAGAAGTTCAGTCGAGTAAAGTTAAGAGGCCAATAGCGAAAAGAGCCAACAGATCAGTATCAGAGTGCATTCCCACATCAGTGCCATCAGCCACTTGGTACTCGAAAAAGGTAACAGATCCCATTCCCATTCCCGAAGTGACAAACGGTAAAACGACGATCGAGGCGAATGTGAAGGGAAATCAGAGGAGATCACAACGTCAAAAGTGGCAGGAGAGGGACGAACAGGCGTTTGGTACACCAATAGATCAGTCCCTCAGTCAGGATTTCGATTTTGAGAAGAACCTCGCTCTATTCAATAAGGAAGCTGTCTGGCAGGAGATAAATTCATCGAAACCAGATGTCTTGAGACAATCAGAAAATAATCGAGGAACGTATCGACACGACGAGAATATTCTCGTGTCAAAACCTACGACGTTAAGGCAAATAGTCGTTCCATTGAGTCATGAGAGAGAATATGTGACTGACGATGGTCTTGTGATACCCAGTATAACGTTAGAGCTGCACAGACAGCTGATGGGAGCTGCCGACAGGCTGGGAATCAGCTGGGAACGGCGTGTGGAGCTTCTGGGTCGGGCTGGAGCTGAGATTATCCTTCAGCTTCTCGGTGGGGCTCACAGACTCAATCCAAAAAATGCACATCAGTGGCCCACAGTTGTTGCCCTGTGTGGACCACACAGATCAGGAGCTGCTGGTGTCAATTGTGCACGTCAGCTATCATCACATGGAGTTGAAACGGTCGTCTACATCGAGAACTCGGAGAATATTTCACTTCTGCAGGAGCTCTCCCTGTACAAAATGACTGGCAACAAAGTCGTGACAGGAATTGATAAATTAGCACCTGTGGTGGATCTCATTGTTGTTGCTCTGTGTGAAGAGGACTCACCCAGGGTTGTACCCTCTGTTGCCAAGTGGGTTAAGAGAAATCGAGCTCCTGTACTCGCCATTGAACCACCCTCTGCTGGAACACCTGGTATTTCATCAAAATTCAGCCTTCTCGGAGCTCTACCTCTCTCCCACAGCCCGGATAATGGCAGGTTGTACTTGTGTAATCTCGCACTTCCCAGTAAAGTTTTCTCAGACGTCGGTATCACGTATAAATCACCATTCGGTCCAAAATCCGTCATTCCATTGCATTCTGATGACTCTTAGGGGTTTTGGGGAGGTTGGGGGAGTAAGGGGAGAGCACTGGGGGTTTTTTGAGGCTATTGGAATAATTTCTTCGAGGGTTACAATTGAATAGAATTGATTTTTTAAATTTCAATTCAATGGCCTCACGACTTTTAAAACTCCTGGTTCTCTTTTAAGGCACACAGTGACTGCATCAGAATGATGATGGAAATTTAGAGTGTCTGGTTGAGTTGATGAATGAAATAATCGTTGCTTGACACAGCAGATAAATGTGAGAATAGTATAGTATACGATACAAGTGAAAAAAATACTTTTTGAAGCCTTCGGCTTGGCTGTAACCCTCACACTTGTAAGAAAGAATTTTTTTTTTCACATGTATCGTACAAAATTTTATGATTACGGTGGAGAAGAAAGGGAGTTGTGTGCAGGTGCGGGCAAGAAGTGTCTTTCTTTTTCACTTGTATCATAAATCATAGTTATGGAATTTAAATAACTAATTGTATGTTATGTCACGAGATATTTATAATGCTCATGAACAAATTGTAAAAAAGGCCACGACAATTTTTTAACTTGCAGAGTGAGAAACTGTCGAGGGCAGTAATTTGCCACGAATTTGATAATATTTTTATCTAGATTTTTTTTAATGAGGGAACCATTTCAGAGGGTGAAAATTGTTTTGTAGATAGGTTTTATCTTATTTTTCCCACGGGAGATGAGATGGAAATGTTGGGGGGAGTATTTTTATTGGACGTGCTAGATCAACTGATGTAAAGTGAAATTTGGAATTAATTAACTTTGATGAATCCAGTGGCGAAGTGATAAACCGGGGAGAATCGACTTTGATATTTTCATTAATTGAAAAAATCGATCTATTTATTTTAAACAATATCGATTTGAGGTAAAAGTCGAGAATTTTCCGGTAGCTAATATTCAGCCAAATTGGCAATTTTTCCAGTCAAAAATCCGTAGTTTTTAAAAAATCTATATCTGATAATTGCGAAAATTCGACTCATCTCTCTTTATGATTTCCCCATTGGATAATTCTTGTTGGAATGTATGGAATCGATACTGTACGACTCGAAGATGGATTTTCCATCGTTTTTCCCCAGATATTCACCAAAAATTCACTTGAGTCATCTCGTTTCTACCACAATAATAACGAAAGTCCACTGCGCTCATGAATTTACAATTTGCAGCAATGTTGTTTATCCTTCACTCATCCATCCGCAAGTTGGACTCATCACGATATGAATACCAAGTGAAAGCCCATCGCGTATCGACAAATGCAAGTGAACAAAAGTTTAACCGGGGATTAAATCAAGACCATTATAATTCCTCCTTTAGTGATATGACCAGTTGTATTTATCATGGCGACAGTTGAATCGATGATTTCGCATTGTAAAGATCAATAAACGTGTGAGCATAAGAACAGTGACGAGTAATAGCGCAAGGTTTTATTTTATTTCCCATGAAAAATCAGCGGAATTCGCAAAACAAGATTTTCAGTGCAATTATCAATTGAAAGACAGTAACAGCTGTTGAATTTTATTTTCTCGATATTTTCATGGTATGCAAATGATTCAGATTAATAGGGGATTATGAAAATCAAAGGGGTATTCACTGAATTTGAAAAATTTGAAATTTTTGAAAAAGTATCAGGCGAGGATGAAAATGGAGGAGGTATCCACTGAAATTTGAAAATTTGAAATTTTTGAAAAAGTATCAGGCGAGCATGAAAATCGAGGTGGTATCCACTGGAATTGAGATATTCGAAATTTTCAAAAATGTATCAGGGGAGCATGAAAATGGAGGAGGTATCCACTGAAATTTGAAAATTCGAAATTTTTGAAAAAGTATCAGGGGAGCATGAAAATCGAGGAGGTATTCACTGAAATTGAAAAATTCGAAATTTTGGAAAAAGTATCAGGGGAGCCTGAAAATCGAGGAGGTCTTCACTGAAATTTGAAAATTCGAAATTTTTGAAAATGTATCAGGGGAGCATGAAAATGGAGGAGGTATTCACTGAAATTGAAAAATTCAAAATTTTCAAAAATGTATCAGGGGAGCATGAAAACGGAGAGAAGGTATTCACTAAAATTGAAAAATTCAAAATTTTCAAAAATGTATCAGGGGAGCATGAAAACGGAGGAGGTATTCACTGAAATGTGAAAAATCGAAATTTTATAATAAAAAACAAAAATCAATTTGATAAAGAAGAAAATTACATTCACCCCTTCAAGTGGTGCCTATGACGACGGGACTCCTACTGAGGCAGTTACCGAGTCGACTGACGCGCAGACACCCCCACCCCCACCCTGCGCGTGGCCCCCTCTCTCTCTTGGGGTGAGGTACTGCAATGTTGGTGGGGTAATTCAAACCCCCAGAACTGAGCCTCTACTAGCCAATCCTCTTCCATTCCAACGGCTACCGCCAAGCACCCCACACTAGTCTGATTCGAGAGAATAATGTAGTCAGTCCGCGAAATGTTATGAGGAAAAAGTTCTGCTTTCCCCCACAAGATTTCGTTGGAGGTCGTAACTTAGGCTCAACTACGGTTAAACAATAAAAATTAATACTAATTGACAAATAAACTATTGTTGTTGTTGTTATATTATTCACAAGTTATTGAGTTGGATGTCAAAATATTCACAGGGGAAAATAAAATATGAGATTGAAATTTCAGACTTGAAGTCTTCAAAGCCATGAATGTGGAAGTCTCCTCTTGGAACTTGTCAGTGAGTGATACGTTACAATTATTTATTTAGTAATGACACGCATTATAAAGACTAGCTCAATGTGCCAGTGGATTATAATAATGTTTCGTGATCATGAAAACCGAATTCAACAATTCTTCTGGTGAGTTCTACCCGTTTCACCTGTTCTACCCTAATTTCTAGGTTATGCAATTGTCTTTCAATCTTTCGTAAGCATAAAATTCGTAACCAAATATAGAATAACTTAATCGAATATAACTGAAGAAAAATATGAGAATAATTTTCGAATTCTTCTGCAATAATTTCCAATTTTTTTTTAATTTCAACGATTTTTTCTATTTCGCGTTTCACAGAAATTCAGGAAAACCTCTTCCCGGAGTTGAATTTTCTGATGTAATGATAATGACTTGGTGATAAGAATTACGAATTTACGGGGTTACATCTGCAATGGAATCCCTGGGATGACTCCAACCTCAAGTCTAGAGTTTTGAAAGTATTTCAAGGTGGAGTTCATCAGGTTACATTATAATAAGTCACTCAAATATCCTAATAACGCGTGTCCATGGCAGTAGTCAAATATAATAACTCATAATTTCGATGATTTTTATTTGACGTAAAGAGGTGAGGGTCACTGTTGTCACTCGTGAGTGATAATAATTTGCAAAACGGATGTGAGAAATTGGTCAATCTCTTACTATTACACTGCTCCGCGTGTACAGTATTTTTATTTAAAGAAATATACAATAACAATTGGAAATATTCCACAGCTTCCCTTTATACCCTCTTCCAATTCAATTTCTAATAAATCTATAATAAATAATTTGATGTCGAGACGTAAGTCCTGAAAAATATCGTTGGCATATAAATAAATTTCTGGCAACTCCATAAAATGTTTCATCAACCTCTTGGTGAATTAATCTCGATTTTTTTCTTCCTCAAGTATTTGAGAAATAATTTATAACTTTGTTATGACTCCTGTCTAGATTATAACCCAATTAACTCCCAAATGAAAGCATTCACTTACGCAGTCACCAGTATCATCGATTCAAAACATTGTAAGGAATTTTCAACATGAAATAATCACCTAGAATTCTGAATCATTTCTCACCCCATATGTTTTTACATCTCTGCTGATATCTATTCCGTCACAAATTGCTAAAAGATCACGCAGGCACTCAAGATAATGAATAACTACCTCATTCTGTTGAAGAATGCTTATCCATCAGAATAATTCATTGCCGTGGATTCCAAAATGAATTTCCTCGCAGAAATGTGAGGGGAAATTGTGTCAAAGAATTGTCATTTTAAATATTTATTCATTTTCTATTTTTTACATGGAAATTCTCGTGAAAAATCATAAATTACTCATTACTCGTTAATTATGTATTATTCTTACCTGGCTGGTAATGGGAAATAAAATTATTTGTTTACTCACTTCTTTTTCAGGGGATGCCCCACCCCTCGTCTACAGTCCCTCATTTATAGCTTTCAATCAATTTATAGCTTTCAATCAGTCACGTACGATGCGAAATTCTTGGAAAAGACTGTCTACTTATTACTTTTTAATGGGATACATCTCGAAATTTGGGTAAATTACCAAAGCAGATAAATTCTGATGAATTCCCAAAACAGGATTGAGTAATTTTCGTTAAATTATTTTTTTGAAGCCATAAAACTTTCCGAACGCATTAAGAAATTAATGAGACTCTGATAAAAGTCGATGAGTTTTGCGAATGAGTCTTCAGATTGAATGAACACTTTGATATCAATCTCGATAATTGTCTCGGCAATTAATTGATGATGTAACAGAAGGTGTGGGGGAACAAATTCGTGCGGGAGATTCTATCATTTTTTCGTGACGAATTTGATTGCTTTGATGCAATCTTCTGTACGAAAAATATAAATCTTTTGAACTTTCATAAAAAATAGTTCGCCATTTCGCTGGCAAATTATATTATTTATTTTTAAGAGGTAAAATCCATATTTTGTAAATATTTTTCTTATTTCACTCCTGAAATTTTTCTGGAAACATGAAAAAATATGCGATTTCAGGGTAGAGCTGTGGAAATATTTCTGATTCTCAGCCGAATTGACGCAACCCCCTGTCAATGTAATTATCCAAATGTCTTACCTCATCATACATACGAAAAGAGAGTGATCACATAAAAATATCTGAAACCAGGTAAATACCGAAATGAAGGGGTCAGGGTCGAGATGTTCTCCAAAAGTGTCTAGACCTTCGAGTTCTTGAGTTTCACTTTAACACCATCTACTCTTTGGCAAGTAAAATCGAATTATTATTTGGATTTAAAATTTTGCTGACTTGACAGCTCGAAACGTTCAGAGGCTGATAAGATTTATTTGGCAAAATAAATGTAGAGAAGTATCTTCGAAAGAACACGGTGGAAAAAGAAATGTAAGTTGAGTTTATTTTTGTGGAGAACAGACGGAAAACAGTTTAACCTTCTTTGTTAAGATTTATGTCTGGAGAGAAATGTTAGAAAGAGGTATGGCTGAGGAAAAAAAATTAACAAAGTATCTCTCTTGTTGACTTATTGCCCCAAAAAATAAGTCTATACCAGGAACAGACATTTGACTCTCATTCGACATTCTCAAGAGGTATTCTACGAAGAGAAGACGTGAAAATGCTAATTTATTGTAGTGACGGTAACGAGGGCGTTTGAGAGTTGAAGGTTCAACGATAAATTGTCCATGTGATCAATAAAAATTAATAAACCCCTGCCCTCAAATACAATTATATGATTTTTTATTATTAGATTATCCTAGTCTCTTGAACACTGACAATTATTATTCAATGCTTATAAAAACTTGGGAAATCTGAATTTTTTTTCCTGAAAAAAACCAAAAATTCAATATCTTTTATCGAGCCGTAATCTTGTCACGGACTGTTTACGTGTTAGAATAATTTGTCATCAATTATATCCGTGATAATATGATACCTGGGGGCCATGGTGATGACCATCTCCAGAGAGTAAATTCCGAAAACTTGACCTCTGGTAGAGTAAGTAGTGGTACTGGTACCTAGAGTGGGAAAAAGTCGACCAGTCGGTTAGTGAATGGGTAGGCGGGGAATTCTGTACTCCTCGCTGTGGATTTTCTATTCTGTTCACCAGTTGGTGTATGCCACCCCGACAGTCGTGTCCGCCGCGTCTTACCTCTCATTACCAACAACTACCTCTTTAACAAAAAGAAAAATCCAAATAATACAATAGGAACTAATCCCAACAACCTAGGTCCTGGAGACCATATCCTATTCCAAGTGTTCATGTTCACTCCAATGGACATTCAAAGTGCAATCACCATTTCTAATTACAAATTGTGCTCCCAGATTATTTAAAGTTCAAACTAGTTTGATGAGTCTGTCGACCTTCGCACGTGTGTTGGGATAAACCATTTGCGAATGGGATATTTTTGGGCGTTGTTTTACGTAAGAGGTATGTAAAATCCATCAAATGTACTTACTCTTTGGAGATGGAATAATTCGATTTCATCCTGATGTAGAAAGTCGCCCAAAGAAGAGATCAATTCAAAATTTCAATTGATCGTCGAACAGGATGAATGGATGAATTTTTTTATGATATCTCGGAGTGAAAGGAGTATCGCAATATTTTTCGAACGATCTCAGCAGGGAAAAATGAGAGCGATGAAAAAAGTACTCACCCAATTTTTAGTATTTTTCTTTGATCTTAAAATATCCACAGAAAGCATGGAAAAATTAATTTATTCTAGTCCGGAGCAGAAGTGACATAAAAGTGCTGCATGCATTGCAAATTGAAAGATGGAGAGCTTTCACGTGCCTTTCTTGGCTTTCGCAACAGTTTCACAAATCGCTTCCGGGTGGATCGGTAATAACTTTTAAACTTATTGGCCTTTTTTTTTAATTTCATTCCTACCTGGCATCAGTCGCAGTGACATCGTCACGTATTCGTAACCAATATGCATAAACTTGTATATGCGTGTAGCACCTGATGGTCAAGTATGTAAGGTGATGAAAGTAAATTATACAACTCTCTAGTCGATCTCGAAAGAGAAAGGTGGAATATAATGGTCAAGATTTAATGTGGAAATCTCGCGGTTAAGGTTGAACATTTCAGCAGTGACACGTGCCTCCTCTATTTACTAATGGTTTTCTGCCTTTTTTCCTTCATTTTCCAATCTTACTTTTTTTTTTAAAGCCACATTAACGTTTTCATGTCTGTGTTTTCGCTGAATGGAATTTTTCGAGATTTCCCATTATTCGTATGGTAGAATAAAAAAAAGATTGATAAGTCAATTGTCTGTGCAAGAAAAATGTATGAATGTATAGATTGAATGGATTGAAATCTTTAAAATTGTATTTCATGTTCAATACGTTGGATGAGTCATCGTTTATCGCAAAAAATTAAATTTTCCAGAAGTTTCAAGACGAATGAGAGTCTCAGTTTTGTTTTCATTTGAAATTTTATAGATTTTATAATTATAAAAATCAGACTCCATTGACTGAAATTCAGAGTACACGAATTCAATCGTGATACATCATTGAAATGTGATTTTTGTTTGACTCTGAAAAATTCTGGAGTTATGAAAAAGTCCATTGTTCTCCACCCACCGCATACCAATCTGCCCATAATTTTTGAAGGTCGTCGTTTTGCATTCTGAACAGTCCACTTGGGTCCATGACATGAGAGGGTTCATCTGCTGGTCGTGGATGGAATAAAGTAACATCATGAGCAAGAGTATTTAATTACATCCGTGGAATAATTAATATAAAAATTAATATAACTTGGATTGATTTTGATTGATAATTTCATTTGTCGATGGGAATTATGGTTTTCTCAGGGGTCATTGGTAGAGCTGGACAAAATGGGATAAGTGATAGCAAAGTGCTTTATACTGGTGGAAAGTCGACGACCTTGACAGACATTGGTTACTTGACGCTTACTCTGATGCCTCAATGCATCCATCTGCCATCTCACTACCAACTAAAATAATGAGGAATAATCATTTCAACATCTTCCTTCAATGACCCAAATGCTCGCTACTTTGTCCATTATCGTACACTCTGAGAAAAAAACCATTCGCGAAGAAGATTTACACTCGTCGAAAATGAGGTTTTATTGAAATGAGGAAAAATCGAGTCGCAACGATTTTATTTCTTGTTTAACGATTATCAATAAATAAAAAGTGTATATCCCTGGATTCTGATTATTGAATGATCCATTGAATGATCCATTGAATGATTCAGTGGAGAAATCAAAGAAATATTGGAAGTTAAATAAATTATCTATCGGGTTGAATACATTCCTGAAATCATTGGTTGTGGCGGAATTTATTAATGAAATTCTTTTCTCAACAATTTCATTGACTATTAAATGATCTTCGATGCTTGAGAGATTAGCCGTTGCCTCTACAAACTCATTGTGTTCGAATATTCCTTTTCGAGAGTTCATGAAAGTCAGATTTCCCTGAAATTTCCAAACCAAATTTCTGTCACACCCAGGCAAATTTCAGTCGCACTCGAAATTCTGAAATTCTTAGCGGAAAAATGATAAACATAAACCGACGCCTGCAATCACTTCAAATAAATAAACAACTTTATGTTTATTTCAATTAATCCAGTATTTCTTTGAACCGATAAATTATTTAATTAGTTCAAGGCAAAGAGTTCTGACTGAAAAAATGGCGTTAATTATTTCTGTC